GTGCGGAGGTGTCCTCTGTAGAGGGTGTGTTCACTGATATTCATTTAGAAAATCAATGAAACATGCAACGTGACCAGGGGCGCCCAAACTTTTGCATCTGACTATACAGCACATCAGTCTTAAAGGCACAGTTACAAAACAGCCTGTTTAATTCTAAGGGATAAAGACAGGTTTGGAAAGTTGTCATGTAAAAATGAATTATGACTGTTTTAGTTACAGAAACACACACAAATGCCAAAAGTGAACTTCAGGAGGAAAAACCAGGAAAAAAGAAGCATAATGGCTAAAACGTGATGTGACTGTAACAGTGAGAACATTCAAATATTAAAAGGAGGCAAGATGTCTCCAAACTTGTGATGGGCAGTGCATAAGGGGCTGTGAGGTGGCCTGTAAAGCTCTGTGTCTGTTCAGCACTGAACAGTCAGAATAGCTTTCACAGATGTGGATTACACAGTGAAACAGTTGCATAACACCAACTGGAAAAAAACTCAAAGCACTGAAATGTTACTGCGCTCTATCACAGGATGTCCTCTCTCTCTTATTCTCTCTCTCTCTCTCTCTCTCTTATTCTCTCTCTGTCTCTCTTTTGCCTAGAGGCTGCTATATAAAATGTTGAAATAGAAACACATCATTGCACACGTCAAAGAGAAAAGGAGAGAGAGAGAGAGCAAGAGGAAGAGAGAAAACGAGAGAGAGAGAGAGAGAGGAAGAGATGATGATGATGACGATGATATAGTTTGCTGGTTTTGCTGCAGCATTCCTATGCACAGTGGTTTATTTTCATTGGAAACAAAATTGTCTGTGTCAAAACTTTGGAAGTTCTTCCGACAACTTTTTCTGGACCAGGAATTTCACACTAGACCATTGGCGCCCTCTGTTGGTGACCTAGTATAAATGCATGGCCTTTTCACTGAACTGTTGCATTAGGTTATGTAAATTTAGATCAAATGAAGCAAAAGGCCACGAAAAAAAATGATGTTTCAATGATTTTTATCACAATGTGAAAGGCCGTAACTAAATCCAAATGCAAGATAAAATACACCAAAGTCCAATAAACAATTCAATTTATAAATAAAAATACTTTTTTCAGTATATATCTACTAAAATAAATAAACATTTTCAGTAATACAAATACTTTTTTATTTGTATATACATATAAATGTTTTTCTTTTACAGTAGGCTATGTTCACCAAACAACATAATAACATAACAGTTAAGAATTATTCTGTGAACAAGAAAGAATATATATTTTTTATAACTTGGCACATTAAAGGAATATTCGTCTAACATATGTGGTCATATATGTGTGTATGTTAAATCAATAAGCCACATGAAGCCATGCATTACAATGATCCCTGTGAAGTAAAATCACTGTGACATACAGCCGTCATGGCTTCGGTCTATAAAATGGCAACAACATACAATATGATAAAAGTTCAATAAATAATTCAATGTACCAATAATAATAATGTACTGCTGTTGGTGGTTTTGACATACTTTTGAGTATGACAGTATATGGCTTTGGATTCCACTTTAATTTTTTGTCATAAATCATTAATATTATAATATAGTGGAGTTCTATGCAAATTAACACTCCATCAACACAGTACAGTTTCCACAAGCACCTCTATGTGATTTCCTGTGATATGTAAGCATCAAGTCACACATTTTCACGTTTTCATACTGGGTTTAATACTAGATCTACCAAAACCACAGACATTTAAAGCGAAAACATTCACGTAACATATTATTTACTGTCTATATAAGCTTTACAGCAAATTCTCCAGTAAATACTTCCATTCAAAGCACAGCAGTATATATTAAATGCTAGACTGTTAGCAATTTACAAAACTGATCTTGATGATGATGATGGCTCTTCAAGGGTTCTTTAGTAAAGAAAATGGTTCCATATAGAATCAGACTGATGGAGAATGTGCTGTAGTTGGTTCTATATAGTACATTTTTAAAAAGGGTTCTATAAAGTACCCAAACGGGTTCTTTTATTGTAACAAGCTTGAGACCGCAACAATAGCAGAACGCTTTAGGTTGCTATATAGAACCCTTTTCAAACAGCACCCTTAATCATGCAAGTGGTTCTTTGGGTGTTCATGGTGCTATATAGAATCATTTTCTTTACTAAAGAGCCCTTAAAGAACCATTTTTTTAAGAGTGTACTTCTAGTAAAGTTTACAAATCTGGGTTTTTACATAGGGTATGTTTAGTACCGTTTTGGCCTGTTTACTTCATAAGCACGCTGCTGCATGGTCACATCTATCAACATGCTGAGTTCATGTGTATAACCATGAGCATAATGATGCATTAAAACAGAACTCAGTGGTTGTGAGGTGGTCAGGTATAAGTATATCACACACTGTACAACAGTTAGTTATGATGACACAATCTGATTGTGGTCAGAGATGTCCTATCAGTTTTTTTTACAATAACTGTATCACTTTTTACTTTAGCACATACAAAAACAGAACATAGAAACATTAGATCACTTCTATGTGACAGTATTTGACCTTCAGTCTATTTGTTCAGACTCTGAATAAGAACATGCTACTGGACCAAAGCAAACTTTTCAGTCTGCAGCTGTGACAGCACAACAACTGGAATAGAAACTAGCCACAAACAAAGAGAATACAATACAGCGAACAAGATGGGCTGTGAGATGCTTCACAGACTGACTGGAACAAAATAACATTCAGGTCAATCTGGCAAATGTTGAAAAAAACTGAAAAAATTGAAAAAAAAAGCTGAAACTGATATTGCAACCGTTGTATGAAACACAAAAGCGAGCCCGTTTTTGGCATATAGAATTGGCCATATTAAAGCACATTTGATACAATGTCCAAGGCTTCTCGCTTCACTTTCTTTTGCAGAGCTGTTGTATTGAAGCAATAAAACACTCAAGGTCTGCGACCAAACCACAGCCGTGATGTTGTTTGCAATAACACACAACGTCAAGTGTCATATTGTTTAACTTTACGACCGTTTGGAACACAGCTCAGCCGGTTAGGTTCTAAAATGGGAACAATGCTTTTCATAGCACACATTTCAGCACACACTATGAATACTCTGCAAACAAGTTAAGAAAAAATACTGTTCAGTTTGTGTTTTTCCTTTTTTCATGGGCTCTGAATGCTCTTTCATAAACAACAGTACTGCTGTTGAAAGAACTACAGCAAGCCTGAGTGACTTACGAGCAGCTTTCAGTTCAGCTTCAGTGCATTTCCAAAATCTTCTTACACATTAACTCGTGGGAAACACTGATAAACATGCAGGTGTGCACTTTTTTTGAGTGCACTCACAGAGAACTGACTGAGACTAAGAACATTACATTCTGATGCAGAAAATAAACACATTAGAAGCAGTAATTTGTATCAATATTGAGTTTACACAGATTTTTTTTTACCCTCAGAGGTAACTGATCAGCCCAAACTTGTTCGGTGTCTGAAGTTTGTTTTACTAGTTTTGCACTGAAGCCTTGGCTATTTAGATAGAATGATAGAGAAACATTCATCTTATGAAGTAACCTTTTCTTATAAATTGAACACAGGAACCATACTGCTCATTTTTGCTGGTGCCTCTATGATATGGCCAGTGACATGTTAGCTTTAAACTAACAGTGAGTGCATTTACACGCACTCAATAATCCGATCATATTCAGATTTCTGCAGTTATCTGATGTAAACAGCACACTCCGTTTTCATCGGAGTAAGGTCTGAAAATCCAACAGAGAAATCCATTAAACAGAGCTGAATTTTAGCTCAGTAATCAGATTTCTCTGTGAATGTGAACTCTTACTCTGATTTCTTTCAGATTTCTCAGTCTGTGCATGTGAAAACAGACGGTGGTACCGGAAATAAGTAAGCATTGTTGCCGTGAGATGCAGCAAAACACTTTTGGAGCGATGGTGAAACCAACTACATGCTTGACGAAATAAATGATTTAAATTTTCTCCATTTTCTAGTTGACGTATGTTCATATTTTCAGATAAAGTGGTGCGATGTCTAAAAAAAAACCACACGCCACAGCATGAAGTTTGAGATTTATTTCTTCTTCTGTGTGTTTATTGGCTGGTTGCAAAGCAGAAATCCAATTACTGCCTGACTCATGTAGACCCGGAGTTTTCCCATTATCTGATCACTCAAGTGCATGTAAACGCATTGATTGGATTACTGACAAAATCTGATTTTCTGCAGTTGGCGGATTATTAAGTGCATGCACATTCATCTTCACCAATGGCAATTCATTCTACTTGAAGCAGATCTACCAAAATTATTGATATTTGAAGCTTCTAAGACATTCAAGCAACATATATTCTTAAATGCGTATGCTGCAGGTTTACAGTGAATCATTAAATACTTTAGTTTAAAGTAATTATGTATCTTCCAGAAAACACTGAGTGATGCCTTTTCTCACAAAATTGGTCCCACTCATTTTAAATCAAAATATGATTGGCTAGTGCTACTGTCACTTTGTGATAAGCCTGATTGGATCATTTTCCATTGGATGTTTCAATATATTAACATTTTTCTTTCCATCTAAAAGTTAACAATAAGATAATTATTACACTACTTGTAGAGTTTGAATACAACAAGCATGTTGGTTCTATTATAAAATGATCAAACAATTCTAGACATACATTTTTTAATTCTTTGAAATCATCAGATCTTTTCTGATGGCAAGATGTGGAAGGTTCCCTACAGCAGAAACCTTATTTGATAAATCTGTATAACTGATAGAAGTTAGAGTTATAGGAAACTACTGCAAGCTTCCACTCCTGATTAGATACATTTGCTTTGTAGCTCCAGTGCAAAACCAATGAAATAAGCAAGTCTTGGTGGAAAGAATTGAGTTTGCTAAATTATTACTTTAAAATTCCCAAAATTCTGTTCACTTTCACTGAAACTCTTTCATGTAGAAGACATGAAAGGCCACCGAAAGTGGACCAATCAATTTTTGCCACATGCTCGGCCACAGTGGTTTATCAGTGCACCTGTGTTTCACCCAAAGCCCCTCACACAGCTCCATTACTGCAGGATCACAGCATGTGGCTCTCACTGCTGGCCCTGTTGACCCTCTGCGCCGCGGGCAAGGCGGCCGAGAACACGTCCGAGACTCCAGTCGGGCAGGAAAAACTCATTATAGCCAGAGGTAAACTGCTGGTGAGTGTTTGATAGAGGATTTGGTGTCACCTTGACAATTGATGCTGGGAGAAAAACTTCCGTACCTCAGACATTCTCCTAGTGTGATGTGAGTTAGAGTTATAGGCAGCTCTAGAACAGGATTAGAAGCTTCAATTACAGGAAAAATGTACAGTTATACTTTTCCACCTTCTCTCCATTATTTCTGCAAAGAATCTATTGCCATATTCTCAGTTGTTGTAGACACAGGCTGCTTGTGTGGAATCAAGTCTCATGGCGCTTGTTTATTTCTGGAGATCTTAAAAGTGTGTAAACACCTTTCATTGGTTAATGAGTTTCACTGTTTTTTCTAAACTTTACATTTTAAAAACCCTGTCATTTTGCTAATATTAATCATTCCACCTATGAAAATTAATTTGCTTTTGTATCTGGGAAATTCCCAATAGTATTACAGAAGGCCATATATATCGCTGCTGTCATTAAACAAAACCGCATATCTCCATTTTTGTCGATTTTCAGTTTTTGACATAATTCAAAAATACATTGTATGCACATTTCATGATTAATGGACCAAATTAATTGACCCAAAATTACTTGGTAAAAATTCTGGTTCCATTGACATTTAAAGTAAAGTAGGTTTTTACTTTCTTCTGTAAAGTTACCATTTTGGAGATACGAGGTTTTGTTCCGACAACAGCGATATACTGTAAAGCCTATATACAATTGCATGCAAAGGTTTGGGTGCCCACTGGTCAAATTACACATTTTGTTGATTTTCTAAGTGAAAATAACACATCCTCTATGGAGAACAAAGTTAATTATGACATCGTTCTGCAAGTTTTAGTGCATATTTTCTAATTATTTGGTAAATTTAAACTAAAAATATATATACATAATAAAATGTGTAAAATTTATACAAAACACATTTTATGTTTTATTTTATTGTTTTTTCCCCAGTACATTCAATTTAGTAAATAAACAGTAATAGTTCATTAAAATGTGTACAAATGTGTTCTCTGTAGAGGATGTGTTAACCTATTTTCACTTCAACCCATTTGACCAAGGGCGCATAAACTTTTGCATATGACTGTAGCAAAAATTGTTGTTGCTGTTTTCACAATGTATCTCAATGGGTAACATTTAAATAAGATAATTAAAATACTAAATTATTGCTCTTGAGAGAATACAAATGATTATATGTGAAGAACTCTCAGTGTAGTCACATATCGCTGCAGTCGGAACAAAACCACGTTTTTCAGTTTTTGACATAAGTTGAAAGTACCTTTGGTCCTATACATTGTGTGTAAATTTCATGATGAATGGGCCATGAGAAATGACCCAAAAGTTCTTGGAAATAATGTCTGGTTCCATTGACTTATATTAAAAGTAGAGTATGTTTTTTCCTTCTCCTGTAAAGTTCTTATTTTGGAGATATGAGGTTTTGATCTGACAACAGCAAAATACAGCAGTGCATTGCTTTTTTTTACTATATTCTGCAAAGAAGGCTGCGATTTTGTAGCACTGTTACAATACTTTGTGGATTAAACTGCAGCAGTTACACCGTGATCGATCTAATTGTCCTATTTTTGTCCTCTGATAGTCCTGCCCTGCTCTGTTTGGTCTCTCATCTGTTCTCTCTGTCATGTACTATCGGACTCCTATGCTGTGTCCTACTGTATTATTGTAATGCAAGTGTAGCTTCACCTTCAGTAACTGCCTTTATCTTACTACTGATGGACTATTTCCTCTTTGAAGGCCCCCAGTCTGGTAGGATGATCCATAAAGAAGATGCCCGAGCTCTACAACTTCCTGATGGAGCGCTGGGCCCTGTAGTATCCTCACATTAGCATGGATTAGCACGGAAATGCCTGTTCTGATTCGGTAAAGCCCTCACGTGCTGTGAAGTTCAGACAGGGCTTTAGGCTTCCTCGCTGGTGGATTTCAGAAGGAGAGTGTAGGAGTTAGTAAGGTCAGATGTCGACTTTCAGCCCCAATGAAAGTTTAAAGTGATTTTAGACTCCCTTACATGAAGTGGCTTCAAATATATCCATATAAAATGGACAGGGATCTAAAATCTGATTGGTTGACTTCACACATCAATTGTGCTCAATATTAATATGCCCAGTTGTTAGATAGACCTTAGATGGTCATATTGCTTAGGCAACCATAGCTTACTGTTAGAAAGCTACATTGCTTGGCAGATGAATTCTTTATTGCAATAATACTTTGAATTATTTATTGAACATTATTGTGTTTTATCCAGTGGAGAACCCTCAAATAAGGCCAAATGACCTATTTGATGGCAAATATAAATGGATTACTGTCATTTAGAAACACCATGCTTGTTGTATTTAAACAGTTCATGGTTAAATTTTGCTTTGAAACAAACAGGTTCAAATCTTGAAACAGCCAAAATAAAGTCTTGGCACAACCAATGGAAAACAGAAGATGTTTTTTTTCCTCGTGATATCGAGATAGATACAGCCAAGCGAGCTCTCCTATTGGCTAGGTCTTCGACCTGATTTAAAGACCTTACACGGTAGATTAATGCTGCGTTTGGGTGCTCATTGGCAGGTTATACATAACAGATGGTTGACTGGTAAATACAACTTCACTCAATCCAGGCGCTTATTGAAAGATGTGCCCACCACAAGGAAAAAGAAAGAATAGACGCCTGGAGAATAGCTGCTACTACATAAGAACATCTCCACTATTTCTGTGAAGAAATGAAAAAGCAACAAACACAATGCAGCGGGCTTCATTTTCTCTCACCAGTTCATTCACAAGTTTTGCGCCGCAATTGCAAGAGGTGGGACCTTTCTGGTGACACCACCACGCAGCCTCAGCAGTCCTACCAAGGACCCACCCAAGGACTTTGGAACACAGCTATTATGTACATTTACTACATCAAAAACGCATAGATCACCTACAAGAGCAAGCCTTTTATTTCACATTTACTACCAAATCTAACATTTTTTACCAACAGCAAAAGTGAAAGATCATACTGAACATCTGGTAAACACAGGTATCAAATAGAATCCTGAGTTTCCCCACTTTCCCACTTTATTTGATTGTTTGAGTAAATTCAGGAAAACTGAGTGTTTTGAGAAAATTGATGTTTCCTGGTTTCTGACACCACTCAGACACAGCATAACTACCAACCATCAATCATGAATCAACCAATCACATTTTGATTTCCAGTGGATGGGGCCAACTTCGTAAGAAAAATGTCACTCTAAGCCCTCTGGAAGTTTGAGATACTTCACTCATCGCAAATAAAGGCAGTGATCCAATGAGATTCAGTTGTTAGAAATGGAAAACAGTGGCGGCACTAAGTCAGGTCTGTTTACCGAAAAAATAAAACACCAACATACAAGGTAAATTATACTGTAATATCTTTTACAAGCTTTAAATGTGCATATTTAATCTAGAACATCCCACAAAGTCTACATGCATTCTAATCAGCATTATCATACACATGTCCTTTTTTAGTTTTATACCAGTTATTGACATTTATAGCAGAACTGAAGGCAAACTCTACAAATCAAAGTCCCCCACTGGTTTTATTACGCTGTATTTTGTCATCGTTCTATAAAAGTAATAAGGGTAACGCTTTCTATGAATGTCATGTTTGTAAGCATCTATAAACATTTATAACGTTATAATGCCTTCATACGGCATTATAAACAGGATTATAAACATTTATAAAAATGAATTACACTGGATTACACTTTATAGCCATGTTTATTATACATGATGAATTGTTAATATAATGCATTATAAATAGTGTTAATAACATGTTATACTGTCAGTGCCAAAGAAGTCAGTCCCAGCTTGGAGAGCAGAAAGTAAAGACAAACACCAAGCTAACGGTGGTGTACATTGACTTTCCCACATTGGGTAAAACACTGATGGCAGCTCTAGTTTAAACTCTGACATTTGAAGCCTGTAATGTGCTTTATTGTGAATGTTTTAGTGTTTCAGTAAATCCTTCAGTAAATACTTCAACTTGAAGCCTCACTCTTAACACTGGAGGAGGCTTTAGTACAGTATGCTTCACTTTACTTAGAGTGGACAAATACGACTTATGAGCTCTTATAATTTGTTATGATCAGTACTTATAATGTATTTTGTTAACAATTCATAATGCATAATAAGCATGGCTATAACGTGTAATGCATTTTTATAAATATTTATAGCCATGTTTATAATGCCTTACGAATGCACTATAACATGAATGTGTTTATAGATGCTTACAAAGGTGACATTCATAGAAATTGTTACCGTAATAAGCAATAAGAAGCTATGCGTAAGGTTTTTTTGCCTATGGTTTACTGACCTATTGCTTTATTAGTTCATGTAAATCGAGCAGTTTGTGTTCTTTAAGCAGCCGTTTACTTTAACTTAAAAAAGTCATAATCTGGAGTACGATTCAGGAGAAGAGAAAAAGCCCCGTCTTATCTTCTACAATGACAAGGATGAGGTGGTGAAGGTAAGACCGTCTTTACTTATTCCTTACAACATTACCTTTCGTGCACACTGCTGCCAAATATTCCTTAGCTCAGCATGACCCAGTTCCATAATACTGCAATCAGGACAGCTTTGCTTGATTCAGCGCAGTGCAGCACTGCCTAGCTAATCCATTAACATCTAAACATCGTATACAATGGCAAAACAAAGGCAAGACACATTATGAAGGACGTTACGATGAACTTTTATGATGCCTACTCAGCACTGCTGCTGTGTGCTGTGGTGTCCTTAGGGAAAGCACAACATCAGATGCTCGCCTGAAAAATTCTTTGACAAGAAAGTGTTCTCAGACAGTTTCAGTGAAGAAGATGACGGCAGACGAGATCAGTAATCTCCTGGACTCTCTGGGTTTCTATAAAAGGTCAAAAAAAGGCGAGGAAGTCCCTGAAGAATTTAAGAACTTCCCTCTGAAAGCACCACGGGATGAACTGTGACCCCTGCTGGTCGACTGCTGTAACTGCACTCAGCACAATAATGACGCCCAGGACCTCAAGGCCTTGATAAAGGGTCAGGCTCTGGGCCGAGACACTGACGGCTTGGTGCAGATCATTACTTCAGCATCTGATTAACTTTACAATAAACGTTTTGGAAGTCATGTGATGGTTCTTGCTCTCTTTCTTTCTTTTTTTTTAACAAAGCAATCAGCCTTTTCTGTAAAATTGTAATGCAGTTGTGTTCCATTTGCACTTCAGAAAAGTTTAGTCAGCTCACCTACACTTTAAATGTAGTGCACATCTACACTGAACTTTGCAGGAACCTGTTTGTAAGAAGAATTGGATTCTTACTGCACAATATTTAGAACCAAATTATTAACAAAGGGCCACATTTTTATTTTAATAAAAGAGTTTAATGTGGTTTGCCAACATTATGAAAATGTACCATTCACTCCCCCAGTCCATACAGCCCACATGAAGAAACTGAGCTGCAAAAACAGCCCATTTTAAATTGACTCTTTTTGTGATGTCACAAAACACAATGTATTTATATCTACTTATTCAGCCCATAGCAGTTTAGGCCCTCCCATGACTTTTTTTTTAGGTTGTAAGGAGCATTCCAGCCCAAACTGCTTCTTAAAAGAGGCGCAATACAGGTCAGCTTGTAGTAAAGAAATCCTCACAAATATCATAAATGCACCTTAAATTATAAGAAAAATTTAGAATATGGGCCCTTTAAAGTTTATTTGATAGCAAAGTCCATAGCATGGCAGAAATGTATACAATCTTAAAAGAAGTCTTTGGTATAGATAATGGTTCTATATAGAACCTTGAACAGTCAAAAAAACATTTTTAAGCTTAAATGGTTCTTCACATGGTGAAAGGGTTCTTCAGATCGATGGAGAATGTGTTGTGTGTTGTGTTGTATGCATTTTAAAAAGTGTTCTATTTAGCACCCACAAAAGGTTCTGCTATTGTTATAATCTTGACATTGTAGCAACAGCAGAACCCTTTTTAAGCATGCAGATGGTTCCTTGAGTGTTCATGGTTCAATGTAGAACCATTGTCTTTACTGGAGTGTTTTTAATAGTGTAGAAAAGCTCCAAAATGTGAAGTTGAGGTGTTCCATATTTCCAAATTACTGCAGTAAAAAGCACAAGAATTATGGCGTGCATACTTTTAGGATGTTCTTCAAAAATGTAGAATTATGCTGCAATTAAATAATTGATTGTTTTAATTATTTTATGAAATGTTAACATACAAATACATACATACATACATACATACATACATCATCTAAACCACCTATCCTTCTGGGTCGCGGTGGGGTGCTGGAGCCTATCCCAGCTGTCATTGGGCGGAAGGCAGGATACACCCTGGACAGGTCACCAGTCCATCGCAGGGTAACATACAAATATACAAAATTTAAAGTTAAAAGCACAACAGTCGTTGCACAAACATACAGGAAGCTACTCTTTAAGAATCTTATTGGGTGAGGCACAACACAGAGTAGCCAATCAGAACAGAGCTCACTGACATGTATCAGTCTTAGATAGATAAATAAATAAATAAATAAATAAATAAACACATCCTGTTTAATTCTAAAGGGAACAAAGAGGTTAGAAAATGGTCATGTAGTAATGAATTATGGCTGTTTTGGTATTTAAACACACACATACAGTATATGGGTCCTTTAAAGGGGAATTCCACTTATTTTTCCAAATTTCTACATAATTAAAGGGTTAACATGCCACCAAAGTTATTCAGTGTGGTCTGTAGTGAAGTATTTCATTCTAGAGAAACCTACAGATTCACAGTGGTGGTGATAGTAATGTCTGAAGCATTTAATGCTTCGAAATTCTGTTATCAATACCACAACAACTGAAGCCTGAAGGATGAAGACACATTCAGGACACTAGAAGACAAACTAGATCCCAAAGAAAATGTTATTGTTTTAATCAACATCAACATTATGTGTAAAAACTCTGAAGATGTGTGACGGTTTACTGGTCATTTTGTATAGCAAATAAAATGGCTGTATTTGCATTGCAGGCATTGTGAGCCCTGGTTCCTATCACCACCACTGTAAAGAAACCTGACAGTTCATCTACAATGCACTGTTTCTAAACAAATCAATCTGAATGACTTTTTTTAACATTTCAATCCTTTAGATTGGACACAGTTCTCTTTGATATTTAATATCTTGCACTAAAAGTGTACATACCCTTCTTTTCTCAAAGTGCACACTGAAACTGAAAGTGTAAATGGGTTAACTTGGCTTTTTCCGAACAGTAGACAAAGTGACTGCGGTCTCCGGAAAGCAGCGTCATCGTAGCACCCTAAGGATAATGAGAAATTCTTAACAACCCACTGATTCTGTCAGATCTAATGACAAGTCTAATTGAGAGAATTTTGTCTCCAAACAAAGTGTCTGATACTCAGTGTCTAGGAACCAGTTCGCTAATTGTTAAGTACCCCTCATATTTGACACATTTAATTAGGATCCAGACGTCGGTGTGGAGGAGCGGAGGCTGATGCGGAGCTAACGCTAATCCGCTGTCAGACAGGCTGCCTCCTCAGATTTAATCTGGTTAGTGTTCAGCTGCTTGCTGCTAATCTCAGACGACACAAAGCGAGCTACAGTGCCTCTGAGGCACAAAGCACGGCGATGGCAGAGCGCTCAAGCTAAGCTAAAAATGCCTGTGTTTTACACCCCCATACCCCAGAACTTGAGAGTGGGTCTCACCCATGCTAGCAGCTCTGTGTTCATCAACAACAGAACGAGGGACAGTGGTGACCTGAGGGAGCACAGTGTGGAGGATGAAGGTGAGGTCAAACCAGAGCAAAGCTAACTGAGTGACCTGTTGCTAGTTAGCACTTGGTTGTAGGCCTTACTGTCCTGCTTGCTAAGTGTTTCTGTTATATAAAGGCCTGGTATGTATGTGTTATGCTAAATGTACATGCTTGACGCTTAACGCTTAGACACTCTGTGTATTTCTTACTTCACAGACGTATTCAGCACATTTTTTTTAAAGGAATAATCTCCAGGGGCAGCGCCCTACACACGTCCACTCACCACAGGCACAACTTCTGCCCAGTGAAGATAACATTACCAAGTTCAAATCAATCAGATAGCTGAAATTTACAAAGACGAGGAAAAACAAGGAAGGCTTAAAAACCTAAACCTAACTGTTGTAGGCTAAAGCGTACTGCCACAGTGGGCATGAAAAATGTCTATATCCTACCTTTGATGACTCAATGCACTGACATTTTGACACAGTGTATATTAGCTTTTGTAGTTAAAGAGCACTGTAAGTACCAAATTTGCAGAAAACTGACAATAAAGTTATTCAAGTTATTAAAATTTGTTTTTTTTTGCTTTGGATGGGTTGAAAAGAACATACTCTACTCTAGAATCTCACTTTTACAGGTCTTCCAGGTACATTTTAACTGCTACTGGAACTTTGAATTCTAATTCTGAGGTGCAAATTACGAACTGAATTACGAACTTAAGGTAATGGCAGACAAGCAACAGTTGCTTTACAGTGATTGGAGGTCTGAGAAAATAAGGCAGAGCTTAGCAGAGAGTGTAATGAGTTGACTGTCCGTAATACAGTGACAGCACTCGCAGAAATAAATGAAATGTCATTGTCTTAAAAAAAAAAATGTCGCTTAATAAATTTTCTGGGCATAACTTTACTTACATTTGCTTTTTAGTTCTGAGCTTTTACATTATCTTTTGGAAGGAATAAGAAAGCGAACCAGCTTCTAAACTTCCAAACGTCTTACCAAATAATCTACTGCCACAATTTCACGAGAGTAATATTTTCAGCGACTGACTGAAGATCAGCATTTTAGGGTGTGAGTTAATGTTCTGATTGAAAGCAGGCCAAAACACAACTGATCCTGTATCAGAGGTCTACTGTGCACTCTTACTGTGCACTCTCAGTAAATGTGTGAGTGCCTAGATGCACAGATTACTTGTGTTCTTGTCTTACAGAAGTTGGGAAAGATTTATGAACCAATAGCTTAATTTTTGCATAATGTAAATGAAAATGCTAATCAACATTTTACATTGCTAACAGGGGTGCTAACCAATTTTCAGGGAATGCTTGAGTACCCTCTACCAACCCTTAGTGCAGCACCTGCTGATCACTATTTGAGTACTGACAAAATATGAATGTTGGCCAATTAGAATTCTGGAAACCAGATTTTCATTAAACAATCAAGGTAAATCATTTAGTCAATCAACATTAAAGGGACTAGTTTTCATGTCTATGAAGGAGTAGGTTTTAGTGACAGAAGGAACACCGTCAGGTAAGCTAAAGCTAAAGCTAATACTTTAAATATAAATGTATAAATATAATATATATAATATAAATAAATTTGCCATTAACCATTTGTTTTGTTTACAACAAGTCAAATTCAGGGAATAAACAGTAATTGCGCTTTGACATGCAGAAGTGGGCATGTTAGTTAGATCAACAAAACATGTCATTTGACCAGAGGCACCCAAACATTGGCATGCAATTGTATACACAGTAGTGTGCTGGATATATATATATATATATATAGTTAAAGTAGCTGAAATGCATACCTATCTGTTTCATCATCAACACAAAGTACATTTTAAGAACCTTATATTACTAATCTTTCCAACTTATTTAGGCAGAAAAATAATGTACTGTCACATTAAATCACATGATTTTTTATCTATGTTTACATTCAACATTAATAATGTGTGATTTTTTTGCATAAAACATGAAGTTTCAACATTGTTTAGTTGAATGTATTTTGTTTAATACAAAATAATCATCATTGTTTTTACAAATTCACAGAAAACTACTGTAATTTCCTGTTGACAAACTAGCTTTAGAAGGTCTAACCTGGGAGTGTGGGAGTGTTCATTCATTCATTCATTCATTCATTTCTTCCTTCATTCATTCATTTATCCATTCACTGATTCATTGATTTGTTCATTTATTTATTGGTAAAAGCAATACTTCAATTAATCCATGGAGGACAAAAAGTATAGCTGTATAGTTCTTCACATGAAACGTGTTATTGGACGACACTTTTATGCTGCTTCCATTTATTCTTGTAATACAGCTTATTTTGGTAAAGTGTCTCTTTCTTCTTTCTGCAGTCACTTGAATTTCATTGCACTAACAATAAAAAGGAACTGAATTGAACTGCAGAGGATAAATCCATCTGTTGAAGTCCTTTACCTGGTGACCTTCTTCTTTCCAGTTTGCAGTGAAGTGTCGTCACATCTCCCTCTGCAGATGCTGCTCTACTTTAACATGTTCTTCTTCCCTTTCTGGTGGATCTCTGAGGTCGTCATGCTGGACCTAAAGGTTGGTTTGGTCAGCGGAGAAGAATTTGCACAGTCTTAGCCTGACATTGTGATTCAGATAAAACATAGACATGTGTTTGAATGCTTACAGGTCTAGAGTGATGACTGTCACTTAGCTGTTAATCATAGTGGCTTCACTAAATGAAATTATGTTTAGAAGAATACAACTGCAGAGTTTAGCTTGCCATGAAATATTGTTTGTAGAGGGATTTAAATGAGCATTGGTATTGAGCTGAAGGAATGATTTGTGGACGTTTTAATTTTTTTTAGTTCTGTATGCTGCCAGGATACTACCAGTGTCTGATGGTGACGGGAATGGTGCTAATTAGCTTATTTGAGGTCCTTCGTGTCTATCTGGGTTATGTTGGAAACCTGAAAGAAAAGGTAAAATAAGAAAGAATCATTAGAAGAAAGTGTGTGTGTGTGTGTGTGTGTGTGTGTGTGTGTGTGTGCTAACATCAACGTTGGGATGTATTAGAACAGGCAGTAAAAATACAGTACATCTGTATTGAGTCCACATAACATTTTAAAAAAAGGCAGTATTCAGTTACGTTGTATATTTGTAGGAGAAGGCTTTTAGAACACATACTGAATTAATGAAAAGCATACAGGCTTTGGAAGAAACATTATCCATGCTTGTTTATCATTTCAAAATCAGTACATGTAGGAAACACACTGGTTAGATGGACTCTAAAGAGGCTTCTTTACAAACACTGAAGCTCCTGCTAAAGCCTGAGTAGACTGATAAATCACTATGATGATCCAGATGTATCTCAGTGTCAGTAAACTCTTTTGAGGGATAACTGAACTGAACTGTTTCCTCAGTAGTGGACATGTTCACGACAGATAAGCAGAGCGTCAGTAATGTGCTGGATTTGTGCATGCGTTTCATGATGTGATGCAGGACCACTCTTGCCACTGGCGTGGTACCCTCAAGGGTACATCTCAGTACCTTCAGTCAGGGCACATAACTGTACCATAATCCATTGAGATTATATTTTCTAAGTTGTATTGACTCCACACACTCCGTCTCGTCTCCAGGCTTTTTATTTCATTGGTCGGATTTAAAATATTATATTATGAAAAGGTACGAATATGTACTTTTCACCTGGGAAAACTTAATTAATGTACACAGTTGGACCTTAAAACCACTGTTGTACCTTTGAGGGAACATTTACATTGTTTGTACTTTGATGAATGCAAAACGTACCAGCACAGAACCTTTATTTCTAACAGTGTACTTTATAGACACATTTCCAAGATTCTGTTATTGTTATTGGTTATGGGAGCAGCAGTGAACTGAAGCAGGAAATAAAATTGAAAAAAATAAAAAGCAGATATTTTATGAGACATATTAAGAAAAGAATGATGTGAAGAAGGCTGCCAGCCAGTATGAATCAAGTAAAAGTTACAACAGAAGAGTTTTTATTGTATTCTAGTGTTTCACTGTTGTTGGAACAAAACCTCATGTCTCCAAATTGATAACTTTACAGGAGAAGCAAAAAACCTACTTCACTTTCAATGTAAGTCAATGGAACCAGAAATAATTTTGGGCCATTTCTTTCAGTCTATTCATCATGAAATCTACACACAATGTAAAGGACAACAGGTACTTTTCAAAGATATCAAAAACTGAAAAATGACAAAAGATGGAGATGTGAAGTTTTGTTCCGACAGCAGTGATTTAATGTATTCTGCGAATGTTATTGTATTGTAATGGAACACTGTCTTCCTTATACTATATTTTTAAAGTATTCTGCTCAACTCTGATCATCATTAGCCAAAACTGCTGAATTCACACTGAGAGTAAAAACTCAATGTTTAGCTAGTTTAGCCTTCTAGGAATACTCAGCATTTTCAACCTATTGTCTGACTGTTGTACCTGTAGTGTACAGTCAGTTACCAAGGACAATCATTTTGATACAGGTCTCTGCACTTAGAAAAAGAAAGAAAACCCACTGATGTGAGACCCATTTATAATGCTGAGGAGACGACCCATTGACATATAATTCATTATGGTGTTTAGTTTCCTGTATAAACACAGGGTAATACATCAATATGCCTGTGGTAATTTACTGAATGTGTTAGATGCAGCAGATACAGATTAGCTGGAACAACATTGGTGTATCCCTTTTAATAACATCATTGATTGGTCTGTCTGTAAATCAGGGGTCAGCAACATGAGACTCTGGAGATGCAGCTCTTTTACTGCCCTGTTGCGGCTCCACAACAGAATTCGATTTTTAGGTAAAAATAAAATAATCCTCCTTTGCAGTAAAATAAAGCTCTGCTGATCGTTCAATACAGTTTAACAATAAATGGTCTGAAACTCTGGTTAATGTATAACTGCTAATTTACCCTTTAACCCTGAAGACTGGTGCACAGACTGTTGGTCACCATAGCAACGCAGATAGCAGTCTCGCCTAGCTAGTAGCTAATGAAATGGCACAGAGAGAGATTTAAATGTCAATAATTTGGAGACTAATGGACTTGCATTTATAAACATTCAGCTGGTTTCCTGATACGTTTAATCTGCAATGAGAAACTGTCAAACACTAAAAAGTCGCAAAGCTGAAGTCAGCTTCTCGCTCACCAGCTTCTCAGTTGAATTTTCCCATTCCACCTTAAATGATGCAGCAGTTCCTGGCTCCTTAGGCACCATTTGAGGTGGAATGGGAAAATGTAAACAAGAAGCTGGTGAATGAGAAGCGACTTTAGCCTCATAAAAAGTTGAACATTGAGAGACATTTTACAAGAAACTGTTCTACTTTTGTGGAAAAGTTTCCTGCCAGAGATGCAAGAAAAGTGGCTATAGCTGAGCTAAAGCTTAAAGCAGAGCAAAGCAAATCTGTGTTTTTGTTTGTTATATTTTTCATCCTATATTAGTACATTAACACATACTGAGACACACATACAGCCAAGTTGGTAAAATGGACAAATAAATGTTGTGGTTCGCAAGGTGTTTTGATTTTTATTGAAAGGACAAAATGTCTCTTCTTAACATTTGGGTTGCCGACCCCTGGTCTAAATAAAATTACGAGGCTTAGATCTAAAGAAAACAAAAAACAAAATTCAAATAAAGAAGCTCTTTAATCTAATCTATTTTATTAAACAAAAAAATAATAATAATGAGTGTATTTTCCTGCCCTTAGGTGCCGGAGCTGGCTGGTTTCTGGCTGATCTCCTTCCTCTTCCAGCTGCCCATTCTGCTCTTCTTTCTCAGTGATGAAGGGCTGATGATTCTGCCTCTGGAGCGGGCGGTGCACTCTCTGTATCTGGCCTTTCTGCTGGGCGAAGTGTGCGCCTCCTTTGTGGCACTGCGGGTCATGACCCGAAAACTGGCCCTGCAGTTTCATCTCAGACAGTTTGGCCTCCACGCTACAGACACACTGTCTGTGTTCGGCGCCAGGAGTGTGTTACCCCTGCTACCTGTCAGAGACATCCAGCCACAGTGATGAGGGCATTGTGGGAGAGTGGGGTAAAAAAAAAAATACAGTCTTAAAACTGAGAATCACCATATAAATATTTTTGTTACTTTCTATATCTTTTAGAATGAGACAGTATTTTAGAAGATTTCTAATTTAATAAATGTTAAATAATATACTGTTAAAACCATTTTTAAACACATTATCTGCCTCATGTCAGCAGCTGTGGCTCTCTGTGGTTGATACGGCTTTAAATGTAGTCCCGTTATAACTGAAGTTTGGGGGGCGGAACATGCCTGAAACCCCTCCTTCTTCCAATCTAACCCCCTATAAATTTATATCCTAGCCTTCCGTTCCTGTGGCGAAGGGTTCACAATCCCACTGCCACCCCATCTCCTCCCAGTTCCTCAGACCTAGATCAGTACTAAAGTTATGGGGGGTTTGGCCTTCTGGCTACAGGCAGAAGCTGCCCAGAACTCCAGCAAAGCTCTCCAAATCCCGCCTCCCTCAATTAGTCTTCCTTCACACTACCACCACCATGTTGAAGGCATGGTCTGAACTCACAAATATAATGCAGTAAGTGGTGAACAGGTGTGCAAGTCTTCATTCAGAACAAAGCTTTCAAATTTTCGAGTGCTGCATGACGTGCTGTCCAGTGTGTGGTGGTCTTTATTGTGCTGTAATGTAAGTGTAGCCTACTACTACCAAAGCAACTTAACTACCACACTTGGCAAAGCCTGCTTGCATATTTTGGTGAGGTTGTCAGTCCTATGACGTCAGTTCCGTGAGTAGCAGTTCGCTTGCATATAGCAATATTCATATTTTGACTCCTTAACAACCTCATAATTCAGAGCATATAGTGAAATTCAGAGAGAAAATGCAGACAAGACAAAATGTATCGAGTCTTTATTTACTGATACAAGTGATTTACGAGAACACTATTCATTTTTTTGCATTGGGGGAAAAAGGGCTTTGGCTCAGCATTCCTTGTATGGTAATGTCACTGACTACAAAATGATGGCTTTAGAAGTCTGTGTCCAAAGTATTCATAGACAGCATCTCAGTGTTAAACAACTGACTGCAGCAGTGTTTCTAAGCAGTGTAATTCACCTCCTGGCCACTTGGTGGTGCAGTAAGGCTGTGGCAATTCTAAGCAGACCCCACAGCTAATAAACATTCAGGGGATGACTCATCAAGCCAGATCCCATGCGGCACACACACACAGAAGCACACACACTGCGGTGGGGAATACCACTCGTCCCTGTTTTAATGAGGGAGAAATTTTCAGTGAGAGACAAAATTCTCAAAACACAGTGTTGACTTTACGCCACTTATGCCTTGATTTACTTTATATTACAAAGTCTTTTACAGATGTATAGCAGAGCAGTGTAATATCACAGGTTTCCATTATGTATCCTCTAGGATTCATACATCATAGACACATATTCAGCTTTTAAAAGGGCACAATTGTGATTATTTCCCATGCTGAATGGAAATGGTGGTGATATGAGAGTCGCCTGAGACACTTTACAATATGATAATAGTTCTTGTGTCGGTTATATCAGGTCTGTGATCAGAAATGTGTATGATGTGTGTGTGTGTGTGTGTGTCTGTCTGTCTCGAAGAGACAGAGAGAGAGAGACAGAGAAACACATTGCACTGTCTTAATGGATACGGTAAACTCAGAGCTGATGCTGATCTGAGTACGGCTGTGACAGATGGTGCTGCTGTCAGTGTACAGTTTAAAGGAATACTCTTTCATTTTCCAACCTAATCTCTATCTGCTGCATCTGAGATGTAAACAAAGTCGTTCAGAGTGGTTTCATGTGAAATGCTCCTTTCTAGAGAAACTTACATATATAGAACTTTTCACAATGGTGATGATAGGAACCAGACGTCCAAAGCATTCAGTGCCTCTAAATGCTCCCTCACAGAAAGCTATGATATAACATGGTTACAAATATGCTGGATAATGTCTGGGACATTGAGTGTGTTTAGATGCACTCAATAATCCGATCATATTCAGATTTCTGTAGTAATTTGATTATTCAAATTGTCATGTAAACACCATACTCCGATCTAGAAATCTGATTAGGAAATCTGATAAAGAGAGCTGGATTTTAGCTCAGTAATCTTATTTCTCAGTGCAGGTTAACTCTTACTCTGATTTCTTTCAGATTTCTCAGTCTGCCCATGTGTGAAAACAGACCGGAAATAAGTGAGCAGCGTTACCGCGAGATGGCAGCAAAGCACTTTTGGAGCGACACTGAAACCAAATACATGCTTGACACAATGAAGGATTTAAATATTCTTCACCTTCTAGATGATGTATGTTCATATTTTCAGGTAAAGTGACTCGATGTTTTTATAAAAAAGCCACGGCACAAAGTTTGAGTTTACATTACGTCTTCTTCTGTGAGGTTATTGGCTAGCTGCAAAGCAGAAATCTGATTACTGCCTGATTTATGTAGACCCGGACTTTTCCCATTATATGATTACTCAGGTGCATGTAAAAGTGTTGATTGGATTACTGACAAAATCTGATTTTCTGCAGTTATTGGATTATTAAGTGCATGTTAACTCACTCAGTGTTTTATGAAGGTTTTGGCCAAAAATATATATATTTTTAATCTATTTATGGAAGAGAGGTACATGCAGGATGTTGTAAGTCAAAATAATCCTTATTTAATTTTATTTATTTATTTATTTATTTAATTCAGAGGACAGGTGTAGATTAACTGATCGTTTTGCGTAGTAAATAAAATGGCCATACTGGTGTTGTGGACATCACAACCCTTGGTTCCTATCACCACCACTGTAAAGAAATCTGAATTGGTACGTTTCTCTACAATGAACCATTTCACACCCAACCACTCTGAATGACTTTGTTTGTATCTCAACAGTTATAATTTTTGTGAAATTTAGAAAAAAAATCAGTGAAATTCCTCTTTAATTGTGTCCTGTTGGAATTATTGTCTGTGGTAATGTGACTGTATGCAACAGAATATAGCAGACAGAGATTAGGGTGAAAAAGACCTTCCTTTAATACTTATGAATCATATTTTGATGAATCAGTTTCTTTCTTATGTTTGTTGTTTGTAAATGTACTATATATGAATTTACAACAGGCTTTATTTCTGCTATTTGCACTAAAAATGTGGTGCACTGAATAGATTTGGTTTAAACATGCAAACATCTTAAACATCTTGTTTCTACAGAGTGGCATGCATACAGAGGTGAGCTCTGGCAGGCTGCAGCTGCTCCAGATGTTCTGCCATCTTTCATTTGCAGCAGCAACTGAATCACGACGAATGAAGAAGTCACACAGATCGCTTACTGAGTCAGCGATGACAGCAAACAAGCATGGCAACATATTTCCATTTTCTGCTCTGTCCTCAGCTGAGGTGAAGGTGTTTCCTTGTTTAGAATGTGGGCTAATGCTGTGATTCCGAGCAGAACAGCTCGGCGCTCCTCCTCACCCTGCCGGCAAATCAGCAGCCGGAGAAATTTTATTATTTACACCTACACAGCAGCAGGAATTAGAATCAGGGGTCATTTTATACTGTAGTCACTCTCTCTCTCTCTCTCTCTCTCTCTGTTCCTCCTTTTTCTTTCTTCATTTCCTTCTCTTTTCCTTTCTCTCAATCTATATTTTGCTCTGTCTCTTTCCCTTTCACTGTATTTTTTCAGTTACTCTCTCTCTTTCTCACTGTTTCTGTCCTGATTGTTTCCTGTAATTCTCTATCACTCTTCCTCCATCTTTTTGTCTTTCTCTCTCATTCTTTCTCTATCTTTTGCTTTTCTCTCCGCTTTTTTCATGAGCTTCTGTTACCTGCAAATTCATTACCCCCTGGTTGCTCGGTCTCTCTCTCTCTCTCTCATTTATTATCTCTCTCTGTTTTTACTCTTTCCATCTTTTTTAATCTCTCTCATCTTTTCTATTTCCTTCTCTCTCTCTCTCTGTCTCTCTCTCTCCCTCCTTCTTTATTTCCATCTTTTCAACTCCTTCCCCTTTTCTCCCTCTTCTCTCTCTCTCTCTCTCTCTCATTTATCTCTCTCTGTTTTTACTCTTTCCATCTTTTTAATCTCTCTCCTCTTTTCTATTTCCTTCTCTCTCTCTCTCTGTCTCTCTCTCTCTCCCTCCTTCTTTATTTCCATCTTTTTAACTCCCTCCCCTTTTCTTCCTCTTCTCTCTCTCTCTCTCTCTCTCTCTCTCTCTCTCTCTCTCTGTCTCTCTGTATACGTGTAATAAATCTTACCTAATTACAATATTAAAGCTCTCACAGCCTCTGGTTATGACTCCACAGAGGTTTTAATGAGCACTTTGGAGGCTTTCCTAAAACTGCTCCAGCACCTGAAAGGCCATGAGCCAGTGTGTCGCACTCTACTCGACTGCTGTAGGGAACAATGGCAGCGACAGGTGCTTTAGTGTTACATAACGAGAAAGAACCGGAACCATACAGAGCTGATGGGTGCTGGAACAGTAAAAAATCTATTTTTAACTTCATAGCAGTGAAACAGTCATGACGTTTGGAGTACCTACTTACTGGCCACTTTATTAGGAACACTTACCTTGGAGGTCCAGCTTGACACTGCAGCCCATTGGACACTGTAGCCCAATTGCTGATGCCTAGCTTGGGTTATTCATCCTTTTTTCTGACGACAAAGCTGCTCTTGGCTAGATATTGTTGGCTGACGGGCCACTCTAAAACTAGCATCTGTTATTACAGCAACACATACACTATGATGCCAATCTCACTGCAGTAAAAATAATCCACTCCCAAATAATATCTGGTTAACGGTGGTCCTGTGGTTGGAAACTGACCAACGATGAATGGGTTAGAGGGAAGCTGATAAACTGTGCAGAACAACACAGGCAACAGTGTTTCATTGTACACCTGTATAGTGGGCCTAAGATGTAAGTGGAGCTCATGAAGTGGCCATTGAGTGGACGTACAAGGGATATATATGTGTAATGGGTAGCCTGTATAAAGAATGAACTAGATTGATGATAAGTGCCTTAAAAAATT